TAGGATTTGCACCCGGTCGAAAGAAACCTTGCTATCGCAAGAGTAACTCCAGCTAGCTTCGCTAGCTTTCGTGATAATACATTTTACAAAATCTAAAACACAAATTTATATATTCCTCTATTTTCTCATTCATTCCATTTTAATATTCTATATGCAATCCCCAAAAATATGGTCCATATATATAAATTCAATTTTCCCATAAATATCCATCATAACATTAAATATTTATCATAAAAACCTTCTTTTATTTCAACAAAACAAATTCTATATAATACAACAAATTTTATTCATATAATATATATTCAATTTTTATATATTCTTGGATCCTATATAATATTATCAATCAAAGATAATCAAAGAATATTTTATTTTCATCTTAGAAAAAGCTTGCGGAGCTTGTCGGTGGCGGTTGTGAAGGTTGAGGCCTTGGAATGGAACATTGATGGATGGGTCCAAATTGATCCAAACATTGTCGATCGACAAATTGTTGCAATATATTCCAGGGTTCAGGTATATAAATGTCTTTATTCATGATCATATTATATCATGTTAAATTGATATTCCTTCCCGGTTCCAAGAAAAATTCTACGTTCCACGAATACGCGTTCGTGCACGCATAGAAGCTATGTTTTCCACGTTGGCTCACTGCGCTCTGGCTGCCTGGGGAGGGCTGGACGAACATGCTTGCAGTGGAAACCATTTTCCAGGGGCCGAATGTTCCATCTCCATGATTTTTTCAGGGTGTGTGTGAATCTAACGTGTTTGGAATATCGGTAAATATATTTAAAAAAGGTCTTGTAAATTTGATATGTCATAAGATTTGGAACAAGGTATGTATGCAATCGTCGAACTCGGGCAACTGAGGTAGTAACCGACTGGGACCAAAAGCCTTCTCGACCACAGGTCTAACCCTTAAGAATCCTCCAAGCAGCCCTGGGTGGCTCGAATGGCACTCTCTTCGTGGTCTGATTCTATGGCTTGACAACAGGCTGGCTCCCACAACAATACATCACCCAAACATACCCAAACACCCAATCTCACGACTCTCTCCCATGTTCCAAACACTGGCTATCACTGGGTACATCTGGAAGAGAAGTTGCCCGCCAGAAAACGGTCAAACTGTCTACCAAAGGAAGCACTCGTGCTTGATCCGGTTGCCCTCACTCTCACCCCCATTTCTGCCCTCACTGAGTCCATGGCCGGACCGGTCTCATTGGTGACGACTTCCTGAGATCTGCGTGAGTTCGGAAAGGATGTGTAGGAGGGGGAGGAGGCTATAGTTCGGAGTTCGGAACTGGTTGAAGACCTCTCCGATTGAATTTCAGCGAGCGCCTTTCCGGGCCTTGCCACGATCTCCAGTCGAGCAGCCGGACTGATCACCTGGGACCTGAACCACAAGCCTTCATGCCCTCCAGTCCCACTCCGCCGATTCACGTGCCCACACATGTTCAACACCCTTTTTCTCATGCAAAACACATGCACATGGGACTGGACTCTTTAGTCAACAGCCCAACAGTTGAATTGTGGCAGCCGATCGGCTCATAGCTGCTGCAGCCTGGCAGCTCTTCTGCCTGCTGGAAAATTCTGACAAGGCCGCATGGCCTAATCGATCGATGACAAGTACTTGTGAAGCACATTGAAGAAGCTGCCCTGCAGAATGTTGATCAAAATCCGAGTCCCCAAACCCCGAAAGAAGACGCCTCCGACGCCATCCTTCTCAATGATCTGCTGAGCAGCTCTCCAGTAACTGCAGTCCTCACTGCTGGTTTGCTTCTTCGTCTTGATGATGCACATGAAATTCGCCACTACATCACTGGCAGAGGTCCCAATTGCTCCAATCAAGGCACTTCGCCCCAGCACTTGGAGACGGCCACGGGGAACTGGGAGATGATGCTGGAGCAGGTTCATCGCCACAAAGCAGGGGTAGCTGCCCAGAAGGTTGGCCAAATAATTTCCTTCCCAGCCCTCCCACAATCCAAAAAGCCCCCCTCTCATGAGCTTCTTCCTCAAGATCTGAGAGCCATCTGTCTGAAGAATGGTCTTACAGGTCTCAACTGGTGTGATGAGAATCCGCCAGGCAGCACCTGAAATCGAGCCTAAGAAGGTGGTCATACTCAAAGGGAGCACCCACACTCTGGCAACAGCCAAACTCAAATCATTGGCTGCCTCACTTGAACTATGAACCTGGAACAAAAAGTTTCATCTTTTGGGGTGGTTGCAAAACCGACTAAACAGTGTCAGGCAAATCAACATAAAATCAATGGCTCAAGGTGTTTGAACATATTATTTTTGATCCAATCCGTAGCTGCGACATCTCCAAAGCGCGAGAGTGGTACTTGCAAGATCGCCCAAAAAAGGCCCTGATACAAACGCAACAAGCCTCCTTCAGCCCAAAGCTTCTGCAAGACCTCCCTCAAGGATCCACCAAACTTGTATTGGTAGTTCATGGCGGTTCGCAACCACATGAAGACCAACACTTGTGACGTTCCAGCCAGAAAGCCCATTGAACCACTGCGCCATGCTTTCTGCAAGGCCTGCGCCATCACCGCCTTCATCTTGGTCTTCTGTACAGCCTGGGCATCAAACGCAGGCATCGCCTGAAGCTGTCTACAAGCCAAGACTGGCAGGCTTGCATCGGCCCGCTTTGAGCCAGAAAGCAAGCCAATTGCACCTCTTCACCGGCAAAAGTTCCAAGTGCGGCTCATTGGGTGCTCCAGGTCAAAACACATGGATCAGCCATGAACTGAACCAAGGATGCCCAATGGATCTGATGGGCATGGACCCAGGTGATGAGTGATGAGCATGTATTTATATTTATCAACATATGAATATATGGTGTATATGGTACCCCGAAGAAGTCTATGGTTTTGACTGATCACCGGGTGGACCGTCCCCACTTGGGCCCTGACTGGTCTGCGAGTTGCAAGGCCACAAAGATCAGGGATGCGCTGTCGTCGAGCTGAGCAGCATCGCGCAGCTTGAAAAAGAAAGAGCGGAAGAAAGCTGCAAGCTAAACGGGAAGCTGGTAACGATACAGCCTCTTCTCCGCCGCCTGCGCTAGCAACAAAAATCCCTTCTGCAAGGAACATGCGGAACCTGGTGCAGCAACTAGGGCAGCCTCTGGCCTTTGTAGGGAAGACATGGGTGCAGCAAACGTGGATACATGATACATCATGATACTGATACTGGTATGTTCACCTGAAGTCTATCCACTTGTGCTTTGTGATGCAGCATGGTACCATACCGCTTAACTCATGAGCGGGTTTCACACTGCAAGCGCGTGGGTCGACCACGGGATGTCGTAAGATGGAAGTTCCCTGTCTTTCGCAGTCAGAGTCTTAATCTCTGAGTTAAAGGAAAACGTGTCGTGAACACCATCTTCCAAAAAGCCCTTTGTCCTTTGTCCACCTCTCAGACTGTTTGAAGGAGGTACAGTTTTTGGATTTGAGAGCACTGTGCCCTGCCATGCTCTGCCATGCCCTGCCTGATTGCCCAACTCCAGATCCAATTCGAGCCTCTGCCCTCTGTACAGCTCTTTCACCTGGCAACGGTTTCAATCGAATGACACGGCGAACGTCTTTCAGAACCGCCGGTTTCGGCAAAAGTCACATGAGAAGAAGCGCCCGACAGAAAAATGCTGTCCTTCTTCAAGTGGCATCTACTTGGTTAATCTTGATTATGACCACGGAAAATTCATGCCAGCATCGTTTTTGCCTGTTCAACATCAGGTGGTGAAGGATAGATTGATTCATGACGGCTGAACTTGTTGATGCACCATGTGAGAACATCAAAAAACATCTGAAAAAACAAACAAAACATGTGTTACTTGGTGCTCTGATCCCTCTTTTTTGTATGTGTCTTTTTTGCCGCTTCCCGCCGCACATGATGCTTCAGGGGCAGCTCGGCACGGGCAATGAAGTCATGGTCCTCACGAGCCCAGCTACGAGGACCATCTGGTTTGGGTCCGTCCAATGGAACCCCCCAAGAAAATGTATCCAAACTGGTGACCCCTTCAAACATCCTTGAACGCCTCCCATCCTCTCCCATACGTGAATCAAACAAAGGATGCTGAACCATCCATGTTCCGAAGACCAAAGCAATGGTACGTACGTTTCATGTTGATGGGTGCATGGGCAACCGGTCCAGTTTCGGATGATACCACCCCGCGGATCAACATGGAATCTGAAAACCACTGGGTTGAACCACCGGTCAATTCTCACGGTCCATGTTACCAGTAGTCTGTGGGGGAGTCACGAAGATTCCTCATTGCTTTCTGATCAAATGAAGAGCGTTGACGTGCTCCTCTGCACCACTGATGTCATAGTCCCACACAGAGAAAATGATCACCTGGAGGATCAGCGGTCCGTCCGAGGTCCCGTCCGAGGTCCGTCTGAGATCATGGAAGATCCACCACTCTCACACGCATTGGTTGGTCTGCCCGCCCTTCTTTCAGCGGGTTCTTCGCCAAGAGCCAGTCGCCTCGGTTCCTTGCACGAAGAAGCTGAACTGCTCGTCCCACACAGGATTGGCACTTGCGGCCTTAGAACGGCCCAGCCGAACGACCGGCAGTTCTAGGAGATTCTAGGTGTTACTTTTCACCTGGGATAACCCGGGATGTGGCTGAAAGGACCCGAACCTCACGTAGCTTGGACCCGGCCGTCTGATGTCTACAAATCAAGGATGTCCAACAGCTCCAGCACTGCATGCCATCACCAGGCATTGGGGATCCGCACGTAGGCTGTCTCTTGAACTTCTTGGCCGATCCGCACCTGGAATAAGGAAAGCCTTCCAGGCCCAGGTGTAATTACATAGAATGAATTAGATAAAACATGAGAAAACTATCCAAAAGGAGTTCCATCGGTTCTGAGCTGTTCTTCAATTTCCATCCGTTTTCGCTGTGAATGTAGACCTTTGATTACTTTTAAGATTAAAACATAACCACCTAATTGGAGTGTAAAACTCCATCATATTGGGGCTTATATTCTGATTAGTATGTTCTATTCAAGAGTCCACACGTCTAGTTCTTCATGAGACTTCTCAGGTCTTACGGAACCCGCCTTCACGAAGGGGTCCACACTGAGGCTGAAAATGCTGGTGACCAGGTCGGTCGCTCGAAGCACCTGAAGCGACGTTTCGTCGCGGTCGACCCATGCAGACGCATGAGCTGAGCTCAGCTGAATCAGACTTCTGTCCATTTCGATCGTGGGAGGCTGGATGATGGTTCTGGATGTCATGCTATGCATCAACAAAGGCCTGCCTTTTGGAGGTCTGGTCTGTCTGGTCTAGATCGCAGCCTCTGGTGTTCACGGCTATTGATATACTTGAAAAAGAATCAACTCCCACAAGCTGGCACAAAAGTTCCGAAAGCACCTGCGGAATTCCGTTTCAACGGATCCACTCAGGCATACGGGGTCCCGGCACCACCCCCCACTCACCAGGACTGGATTTCATCTGAACCCTGGGACCCCTGGGACAGCAGAAACGACGCTCCTTGAAATCCTCATGGGCCAACGTGGATGGCATGGCACCTTGGACCATGAAATCCGAACACCAAGGTTTGGTGGTTTTCCACTCCATGCAACTATGATTGTTCCGGGTAGTGTAACCAACCTTCAAAGGTCCAAGGTCTTGGTTGCCCTCAGAACCACGCCTCAACGATAAGCTTCTTCTTCCCTTTCGGTGCATGCGCCTCCAGCTGCGAACTGCTCCAGTGTTTTGAAGGAACTGGTTTACATAGGGCATGGTTTCTCGTCTACACAGCACCTTTAAGCGTAGCAAAGGCCCTCAACTGGAGCAGTTACGAGCAGTGAGCAGTGCAAGTTGTGATTCTGGTTGAACTCCTGTTTCCACACATTTGCTGATGTATACAGCTGTATACATCTGCAATAAATCGGCAAAAAACCATGGAGCTAGAATTGAGGTTCACCACGTGAACCTTTCCTGCCTGCAAGGCTTGTGCACTTCGCACGGCTGCTCGCATGCCAACAGACCTAAATAACTGAAGAGAGCCCAGGTTGGTCCGGATTGCTGTAGTCTGAACAGGATCCAGGATCCAATGAATACCAATGAAATTCGCTCAAGAAACGTTCGCTTGTTGTTGCTCTTGTTGGTGCCTTTTCAATTCTTCCACTGTCCACACACACATAGCGTATAGCATATATATATATACTGGAAGTTTTTTGTAGCCAATGGATAATATGGATAATAGTATAACACTATATAACACTATAATCATGTCGAATCACAATACTACTTTAGCATGCAACCGGAAAACTCTGCCGGAACCCTTGACTGGGCAAGAAAACACAAACATGAAACCATCGGCTGGATGTGTGCAAACAAGCAAGGATTACATGGTAAAATCCGACAAACGAAGGGAATCTACTGTGGAACCAAAATAGCCCATTCACTCTGTACAATGATGGTGGTAGCGGTTGTAACGGCTAGTCAACAACAATTGGACAGTATTGAGAAAGGATCAGAAAGGACAGCCGGACCCTGATGATTGATTGATTACTGCTCCAAAATGCCCCAAAAGGCACCAGCTGGTTCTTTTGCCCTGCGGTTCAGTGCCCACACTGCGATGCTGTGGCAACTGACTGCTTGACATCTCCGTCCACTTCAGGCTTCGCCTCAAGAGGTTGGACCAACTTCAATCGACACGTCTACACATTACAGGCTTGGCGTGAAGCAAAGCAAACCCGCTCAAAAGCACTAACATTTGCATGTTTTTTCACCTTTCTCGTGGCGTCCTGGACGCCCCATCCGAACTCGTGGCGTCCTGGACGCACCGATCCCCCGTCCGGTGCCCTCGTGCCTCTGCCCAGTCGGATGGCTTCTGCCAGGGTGCGGGCTCCAGTTTCACATCTTGGCCTCAGCTTCATCAGCAAGGGGAGTCCGACAGAATCCGACAGGTCGATGCCTTGGAGAGGTAGGGGGGCCAAGCCTGGAACATCATCGCAAACATGGATGCTGAACTGGGATGCTGCATGTGCACATACAGTGAAGGAATCGGGGAACACACCACGACGATTCGTTCTTTCGAACGGTCAAACGTGGCGAAGGGTCGAAGCCTGATTGAATATGGCAAGATGGCTGGCAACTCAGCTTGTTGATGCTACTGTATATTAACTGAGGTGTTTTCCTATTTGATTCGATCCACTTCATCCTGGGGACTCATAGCCAACTGTACCTCCTGCCTCCTACAACGACCCAATGTAGCAGTTCAAAGGAAAAATACGCCTTCTCGGGCCAACCAATGAACCACATATATGGGCCAACCACACTCCGCGAGTCAGATCAAAGGACTTTCTTCACATCCCCAGTAATCCAAGTGCACAGAAGTGCACAGGGTGGAGAAACACTGCTGCCTCCCTACCTTTTGGCGGGTGGAGCAATGCCAGACTGGTACCGCATGGTACCGCTGTATAATACCTCTGACGCAGCATCACCGTCGAAGCCCCCATCGAACCCCCCAAACCAGGTCCGGGCGTGGCCAGGTCTCCGCTACACGTTCCAGCTGCCGTGCCAACTGCGTGGCACCCACCTGAGGGCGTCCCGCGCCCAACAAACAGTAACCCTGCATGGTCCCATGGTCTCAAGAGGTCCAAAGAATCCAACGAATCCCAAAGGGTCTCAAGAATCCGAAGGGTCTCAAGAATCCAAAGG